GGTCCAGAGGTTTTCGATGGGGTTCATGTCAGGAGATTGGCTCGGTCAGGGCAACTTTTGGATACAATTTTCTTCCTGTCACTTTTGGGTGTTTCTAGCAGTGTGACACGGTGCTCCATCTTCCTGGAACAACTTTGTGTTCGTGTCCACGAAACCCGAGGAATAAAGTGGCAAGAGTCCTTCCTCCAATATTTCGACATATTTCGCAAAATTTATGTTGCCAACGCACTCCACTAAGCTCGATCTCCCACCAACCCAAACAGCTCCCCAAACCATCACGCTGAAACCACCATGCCTCACAGTTGGCTGCAATCTGTTGAGCCAAAACTCTTGGTGAGGCATTCTCCAGACCCATATCCTTCCACTGTCCGAAAATTGAGAGAATCTTGATTCGTCTGAGAACAATACGGTCTTCCAAAAGTCCAGAGGCTATATATATAAATAAAAGAATAAATATTTCATAAAACTCCAATTAGTTTTAATATTACTCCTTTACCGAATACAACTTTTAAACTAATGTATAGCAGAATAAAGCATTATAAGTTATTTCAACTTGTGATAAGTATTTAGAACTTTATATAAAATATTTTGTTTTATTTCCTTTACTTAGTATTCCTCATATTCTCATTTAATATGAGAAACATTTTAATTATTTGGGTTAATCTAGTTTCCTTTCTTCAAAGTTCCTGCCTTTCAAGTGACCCGGCATGGCCAGGTGGTTAAGGTACTCGACTCACAATCTGAGGATCGGGGGTTCGAATCCCCGTCACACCAAATATGCTCGCCCTTTCAGCCGTGGGGGCGTTATAATGTGACGGTCAATCCCACTATTCATTGGTAAAAGAGTAGCCCAAGAGTTGGCGGTGGGTGGTGATGACTAGCTGCCTTCCCTCTAGTCTTACACTGCTAAATTAGGGACGGCTAGCGCAGATAGCCCTCGAGTATCTTTGAGCGAAATTCAAAAACATACATACAAACAAACAAACCTTTCAAGCATCTCTCAACTTCTAATCCTAGTTGACACTGCTACTACTAGTTGTTTGTTGTTAAGCGCAAAGGGTTGTCTGTGCTGTGCCCACCACGAGTGTCGCTTTTTATTGTTGTGAGCCCACAGACTTACTGCTGAGCCATTGGGCGGTTGTGCTCGTCTAGTTTTTAATCTTGTTGCTATGGCCTAGTTATTAGGCCTAGTTATTAAAGTTCAGTAAAACAAATAACCGAAATAACTATATCCCAACACAAATAAAAAGTTACTGTTTATGAATGTTTTGCAAACCAATTTTTCAAATCTGTCAAGTTTATGCAACTATTCGTTCTGCTGTTCCGAGATAAATCAGTCTGTGTTAAATTGTATTGAACTTCAAAGAGAAGGAACAGTTGTATGAATGTTTATGTAATATGCTGGAGTACTGATCTAATAGCTGCTGTATGATCGCGATCCCAACAACAGTCTGCGAACTGGCGTAACGTGGTCATGTGATTAGAATGACATCAAGGTTACAAACTAAACTGTATCAGAAGACTTGAAATTAGAGAAACTAGTTTCGACACATTCGTGTGTCCTCTTCAGTCTCAAGTTATCTTCTGATAAGAAAATTGATCAACATCGCCTATACGACCCAGGAAATGTGACTTCCCTTAAGGACACAGAAAGTCAAGGGTCTATTCAACTTAAGGTGACCTTGGGAGGGGGGTGGGAATTAGGTAACGTTTAATGATTCATCTTTTTTTTTATATCGCCCCTCAGTAGCATAGCGGAAAGTCTAAAGACTTATAACGCTAAAAACAGGGTTTCGATACCCGTGGTGGACACTCCTAAATAGTCTATTGTGCTTTAACAACAAACAAACATTTTTTTTTTTACATCGTTATCCATTTTATATAAAGTTTGGGTTAGTTTCCAATCGATATGATGGTCAAAATATTTCATATGAAGAAATATGGCGTTGTTTGTGTTTCCATGTT